GTGGCACAGATGTAGTTAAACTAATAGTTCAGATACAAAGGGCTAGTGTAACATCTACTGAGATTTAGAAAAATTATGCCTGATGTTAATGATAATCCAATATCAGAGAAATACAATGAGTGTGAGATTATTGTATGTGTGTGTAAGAGAGAGAGAGAGAGAGAGAGGGGGGGGTGGGGAAGAGAGACGGAGAGAACGCACAGATTCCTCCAGTCAGTATTAAGAAGATGAAGGACTCCTGTCTTCTATGGTCACATAACAGGATGCGATATTTTTATGACCACCAGCTGAGACGGTGATGAGCATAAGAACTTGAATTGGTAGCTGCAAAACTATTGCTCAGATAAATAGTGAGAAAACTACTAGGACCTTCGGAGATTCAACTAAAGACACCTCCACTGAAAACTAGTGAAACAGATACTGAGAAAACTAATGCGATTTTTATTAATAAAACTAATGAGACTGTAACTGCTTAGACACTACTTAGTTTGGTAGGTAATATACTGTCAGGAACAGTACTGCAGAGACTGGTAGGGATAAAGCTACAGACTGGTTTAGACAGTATTACTCAGACCGGTATGTACAAAACTACGGTGATTGCTAGGGTCAAAGCTAGAGAAGCTGGTAGTGACAATTCTACTGAAACCGGCAGGTACAAAGCTACGGAGATTAGTAGACCAAAGGGCTATCCTCCGAATAACGGTCGTAAATTATCGGGACGGAAAATATACCCTAACAAAGCCTCAGTCACGTGTCAAGTGTGCATTTCCGTGGACTATAACGCCACCGCCGAATTGCAAACTTTCGGCAACCTCCGCCACTGCCGAGTGTGTCCCCGACGCCGCTCACGCGGCGTGGATTGGGGCTAAACTAGATGGCTAGGACTCAGAAGCAAATAAAATGAAGGAAGCTGCAGGAGATGCGGTAGCTGCTGCTCGTGAGTCCTAGTAATCTAGTTTAGCCCCAATACACGCCGCGTAAGCGACGTGTGGGACACTCTCGGTGGTGGCGGAGGTTGTCGAAAGTTCGCAATTCGGCTGCGGCGGAAGTCGCCGGAAGCTCCCATTTCAAGACGACGGAACTGCGCAATTGACACGTGACAGAGGCCCTGTTAGGGGATATTTTCTGCCCTGATAAATACTAATGCTTTTCGGAGGATAGCCGGACAAAGCTAGGACGATTGGCTTGGAGAAAGCTAGAGACTGGTGCAGAAAGTTTAACTGAGATTAGTAATTACAAAGCTACGGAGATTGGCAGGGACAAAGCTATAGACTGGTGCAAAAAAAGTGTTGGTGAGACTGGTAGAGACAAAACTCAAGACTTGTGTAGTCTTACTGAGACAGGTCGGAACAAAGCTATGAAGATTGGAGGGAACAAACCTACGGCGATTGGAAGTTGAAACCTAGAGAGACTGATAGTGACAGTATAAGCAAAACGTATGGTAAAAGCTTCTGAGACTGGCAGGGTCAAAGCTACAGAGATTATTAGGGGAAAGCTAGACAGACTGGTAAGGACAACACTACTGAGACTGGCAGGGACAAAGCTACAGAGACTATTGGGGACAAAGCTAGACAGACTGGTGAAGACAACACTACTGAGACTGGCAGGGAAAACGCTACAGAGATTATTAGAGACAAAGCAAGACAGACTAGTAAGGACAACACTGCTGAGACTAGCAGGGAAAAAGCTACAGAGATTGTTAGGGACAAAGCTAGACAGACTGGTAAGGACAACACTACTAAGACTGGCAGGGACAAAGCTACAGAGATTATTAGGGACAAAGCTAGACAGACTGGTAAGGACAACACTACTAAGACTGGCAGGGACAAAGCTACAGAGATTATTAGGGACAAAGCTAGACAGACTGGTAAGGACAACATTACTAAGACTGGCAGGGACAAAGCTACAGAGATTATTAGGGACAAAGCTAGACAGACTGGTAAGGACAACACTACTAAGACTGGCAGGGACAAAGCTACAGAGATTATTAGGGACAAAGCTAGACAGACTGGTAAGGACAACACTACTAAGACTGGCAGGGACAAAGCTACAGAGATTATTAGGGACAAAGCTAGACAGACTGGTAAAGACAACACTGCTGAGACTGGTAGGGAGCGTTGTTTTTTTCTTAGTGTTTACCAGCTGTAAGCTCCTGGCAAAGTTATGGCTGTTCGTTCACTGCTGGACTTTGGTCTTGTTCCAGAACTTGGGTTTCTCTTGTGCATGCATTTCACAGCCTTAATGTGTTCAGGCTGATGGTTCCTCACTTTTCAGCCAGATGCGCATCGATTGTGAAGGAAACTCCTCCTAATTAGTTATCTTTACGACATGCGTTTGTTACGTGGCTGGGGGGTCAATACTGTTCTTCCAAAATATGGTCCAGGAACACACGAGATGTGAGGACAGTAATAATGAGATCGGCCAGGACATTGCTACTGGTGTAGTTAGGGACAGTATCCCTGAGACTGGCAGAAACAGATCTACTGAGATCGGTCAGTAGCCGTCAGTTCAAGAGCATAGTAAAAACAAATCCCCCCCTACCCCCCCCCCCCCCCCCCAAAAAAAAAAATACATTAGTATCAAGTATGGTAAAGTCACCATTGTTTTCTTCTAGTTAAACAGGCAGATTTTCTTACTCAATTGCAATCGCATTTGTTAAGCATTTTTTTTTTTTAATAACACTGATTTTCACTTCGAAAGTTTTTACATGAATTTCGTCTGTACCAGTGGATTTTGACTTGCACTCATGCCTGATTACGTTTAACAAAGACGTGTTAAAAATACCTGGTTAAAACAATAATTCAGATGCAAGGGGTTGTGAGCTGTGAACGGATATCATAGCACTCGGGATATTCCCATAAGCGCTCTTTCCATATCATCAGAAGCAAGCGCAGATTTCCAGTTCCAAATGTAGCAGTAACAGTCCGACTGAATGTCCGTCTCACCTCCCCCTGAGTTTACAAGATTTTACTATTACATATGGCTGTAGTAGAAGACAGAATGAGCATCATATTGAATTTAAAATGGTCAAGAAATGTTTGGAATAATTATATATTAATAAATTTTTTTTTATATATATATAAATATATATTTAAAACTGGACAATGCTCGGTGACTCCAAATGTCTTTTCTCACTACTTTTATTTCTTTGTATTTTAAAGTATACAAAAATAGGGATTTTGGGTACATCCTTTAAAGACACCACTCACACCTTTAATTCCCTGACCCTTGGGGATATCAAACACAAATTTTTTCCCCGGGTTTAGTGTTAAGGTACGAGATAAACTGCCAAGCAAATTACTGATAGATTGCACACCATCTTTTTGTGTCAGAAATTTTATTTCCCACAACTTTTAGGAAAAATAACAGGGGTATTGCCTTACTCCCCTGAGGGACCTAACTCGAAGGCTGGTCCGCGGTCCTATTGACACAGTGACGGAAATGTTGGGAGAAGAATTGAAAAGTCGGGTTTTTTTTGGAGGGAGGGGAAATACCAAAGGGGACTTGCCTATTGCTTTGACCGCTTAAATTTGGGCCAGGAGCCCCGTGGGGTTTGAAAAGTATTACGCCCTGCTGACACGAATAAACTTACCCAAAGGGGGGAAAAGAACCCT